GCCTCTGTGGCACGCTTTGCTGCTCCCTCGGCCCTCTTCTCCACCTCGGCCACCCTCTTCTTCGCCTCGACCGCATCTCCCTTGGCCTGGGTAAGGCGTAGCTCTGCCTTGGAAAGAAGGGTTACGATGCAGGCCCTCTCCATCTGCTCCTTGGAGAGGCTCTCCTGCACCTCCTTTAGCAGCGCTTAAGCCTCCATACAAAACTTCTGTTCATCGATGAGGCTCGACTGGAATTTATAGTACTTTTCCTCGGTAGTGGCGGCAGCTTGTTAGAGCTTTCCCTTCTCCTCCTCCAGCTTGTCCATCTGGGCCAAGGTCAGCTTCAGCCAGTCCCCGAGACCAACATAGTGAAGACAAACCTGTAGTGAAGAAATAGTCAGTACTCCACAGAAAAACAAAAAGGCATGAAGGAAAAGGAATAAGCACTACCTCGCCCAGGCTTCCCAGGACCTGGGTGTAGACTCTCTCAGGTGCGCTCCCCAACATATGAAACAACACTCAGAAGAGGCTTGATGTCAGTTTCACCCCCTGGAACTGAGCCACCATCAGCATGGCCACTATAGTCCTAACGGCGTTGGGCACCAACTGGCTAAGAGTAATCTCATACGCCCTCAAYAGTTCGGAAATCAGCAGATGAAGGGGAAACCGAAGACCGACCTGGAGAAAATGTTGGTAGATGCAGATCTCCCCCTCCTTAGGAGTCCACGGCCGTTCACTTACTTCAGGCACCTTCATACCATAGGATGAGGGAATGAAGTACTGCCTTGCTAGAGCTTTGACCTAGTCCCCATCCAGAGAGTTCTCAAAACCTAGGTGAAGGACATTGGTCTCAGCTACTGCCTAGGCAGCCCTCGTCCCAGGAACATGGTCTAGGGTTCCCTCCCCCTCGGCTGGGCAGGACCCTTCGGCCTCCCAGGAACATGGTCTAGGCCTCTCACAGGGAGGGTCCTCGCCTCGACAGCTGCCTTCAACACCCTCAGGGGCTACTCTCCCCCGAAGCACCTCAACCTCCTATTGAAGGGGGGCAAGAGTAGAAGGACTCAAAGGAGAAAGGGGAGAAGGGGTACCGAAAGAGCTCACTTCCGACTCATTCGAAAGATCATAGCACTCAGGATGAGAATCTGAGAAAGACATTGTCTAAAATTACCTAAGAAATGTGAAGGAAGAAAGAGTGAGAATGAAGTGTTGAAGGTTGGAGAGTCTGGAAGCTAAGTTCACTCAAAGGCAAAGGCGCTTAGAGGCAAACGACAAGAGTGTTGCCGCTAAGGGTCCTATTTTAAAGAGAACGAATGTCCCAAATTTCTCAAGATCCAATGGCTGAGAAGCCACCGCCTCCACAGCCCAATCATAGTGCGTCACGTAACGCTCATCCTCAGTAGGCGAAATGATGCACTAGCGATGGCACAGATCGTCCCTGATCCAACGGACGCAAAACGCCTCCGCAATTGCGAACCAGCCGCGCCACACCCCTGAACGCCCATCCTCGGAATGAGAAACGATGCTCAGGGTGAACCGACGTGTCCGCCCATTGTGAACCATTGGCTTATCCGACCCGGCTGTGCGAATGCGGACATCGGTCTGACCGAAAAGTCGTACCGCGTACGAATCCTCGAGCCTCACAGGCCCTCGACTTAAACAGCCTTCGGCTTCGTAGGTCCTCGGCTTAAATAGCCTTCGGCTTCGCAGGCCCTCAGCTTAAACAACCTTCGGCTTCACAAGTCCTCGGCCCAAATGGCGGCACCAGAGCATCCGCATTGAGCGCGCCTCCCGGGTCACTTGTCCGAAGCAATAGTGCTATAGACCACTCGTAGCCTCGGCCCAACTTATGAAGACAAACTAGGTAGAGACACAAAAGAGGATGCCACTACAGGGTACACCTGGGTTGCTGGGCCCATTGGCGTTCATTGTTACTACTCCCATCAGTGGAAGCCGAATTTTTCTCCTTGGCCTCGGGAATGGGGGCAAGTGATGTGGGGTGACCCAACCCAGCCCATTCGAGGTTGGGAGGCCTAGCCCACAAGCGCTAGACCTAGGAACGAGATCCACTACAGCAGGAGTTACTTTGTTCCCCTCATACGGAGCTAATTGCGAAGCACCCACACATCCCCGCAGAGCTCTCTAATTGCCCTCGTACGACACCCATTTCAAGCGTTCATCTCCACCTACCTCCAAGCAACTCAAGTATAAATAGGGATGCCCCCCTCCAGGTAAGGGGGATCGAATACAATTGGCATCTAGATTTGGAACTGATCTCAAAAGTTATATTCTAATTCCCCTCTTCGTATCCCGTACTAACTTGACCGTCGGAGACTCTACCTCGGGTTCTCACCCGGGGCCTATGACATATTCTGCCTTGTAGCACCTCGGCTACCTACCTTCTGCTTTTACAGTATTCGGAGCCCTCTCCGCCTCGGCCTGCATACCTCGGCCTCGACAACAAGCTCTCCGAACCCTCGAAGCCTTCGACCAACCTTTGGAGTCTAGGAGCGAAATTACTTTGTTGTCCTCGGCCATCCCGAGCATCAATAATAATAATAATAATAATTGAACCTTTTCTTTTGATTCTCTTAAATCAGAATATTAGTTTTTATTTTTTAAGGTGGCATTTGATAAATTTGAAATCTGAATTCTGAAAAGCAATATAAATGCTTTTCTACTTTTTAGAGGCCATGTTTGGGAGTACTTATGTTAAAAATAAGTGTTTAAAAACAAATGTTTATTCAAATAAGCACTTATTTACATTTGGTACCCAGYTTTTTCAAATGCTTATTTTAAAAAATAGGGAAAATTCCTAAGCAGTACCCTATACTTTGGTTCAAGTGACAATTTGCTATCCAAACTTTAAAATGCAATAATTTAGTATCCGAACTTTCAAAATGTGACAACCCATGCCCAAACTTTCAAAATGTTATAGTCAAGTACATTAACGTCAATCAGCCATTAAGTTGACATTTGAAAAGTCAAAAATATCTTAAGAATGCCATCTAATTCTCTTTATCAATCATCCAAAAATTGACAATAATGAGACATTAATCTTCTGTGACCCAMCTTAGAATTACGAGCCACGGCAGCGGATTGGACGTAAGCTCTTGTTGCTGAATCTATTAATGGGGAGATCTGTTGTGTCTTGTTGCTGCAGCACCACTGAATGAGCAAAGCAACAACTAGAGCTTACGTGGTGAAGCAGTAATAAGAGACCGACAGATCTCCCCATTAATAGATTCAGCAACAAGAGCTTACGTCCGATCCGCTGCCGCGGCTCGTAATTCTAAGCTGGGTCACAGGAGATCAATGCCCATTAATAGATGGTGGAAGCGTCAGTAGTGGTGGCAGTTCCGTTAATTCGCCGGTTATGAATGTTCTTCCTAGGAACATTTGCCCCTCCGGCACAAAGAATTCCCCTTCTCTCTCTCCGGCCCCCTTTATTTTCTCTCCCTGAACCACTACAACTCGTTGCAGCAGAGGGATTTTCTTTCCGTTGAAGACTATGGTTTGTTGGACCTAGTTTTGAAGAACTCCCCTTCTCTCTCTCCCTAAACCACTGTAACTCGTTGCAGAAGAGGGGTTTTCTTTCCGTTGAAGACTATGGTTCATTGGACCTGGTTTTCTAGATTTTTTTTTTTGTTCAGAAGGGAATATGTAGAAAACGCCTGGAACAATGGATGGTTTGGTGGTGGAGACTCTGGTTTTCTATACCTACGATGGTCGGGTGGACGTAGACTGAATTGCATTCTATACCTACGATGAAGAAAACCGGTGACGAACAATTCAGAGTTATCAGTGACCGCATTCTATTTTTTTTATCAGGTTTCTTGCTCTCCATTGGTCGCATTTTAGAGTTATCAGTCAGATCGTTGGAAGAAGACTCTGGTTTTCTTTAGCGTATGGGAASTTGGGAACCGGTGATGGGCGATTCAAAGAGGAGTCAAATCTTCATCCATTTTTCCTTCTTCTTTATCAAATAGTGACATGAGGGCAAAATGGACATTTCATCTTTTTCGTTAAGGATTTACGGATGATAACAGTTGTCAAATGTAATTTAAGACATTAGTTAAACAGTACAGTTAGTCAATTAGTTAAATTTGTCCTAAAAAATAAGCCTATATTTTTAAAATAAACATTTATTTCGGGCTTAGTACCAAAACACCAATAAGTACTTTATGACCTAAATAAGCACTTATTTTTAAGCACTCTCAAATATAGCCTAAGTAGATAAGGTTGTTTGTGTTGGATCAATGCTTCAGCATATGAAATCCCGTAACTTTACTATTTCTCCTAAAACATACTAATTGGTAATTTTGAGTACAAATTGCACTATTTCATAAAATTAATTTATTAAATTCAAAATAATATTGAAAATTATGAACAAATTATAAAAAATAAAAAAAATATTAAAAATAAGAATAAAATTAAAAAATACATATAAATTTATAAATTAAAAATAAATTATTAAAAGTTAAAATAATAATAAAACTATTGATTAGAATAATTATATGTAATCAATTATTCTTCAAAGTTGTAATAATCTTTGTACATTAGGGTTATGAAAAAATCTAGTTTTTTATAATGTGATTTTTTTCTTGATTTTATTTTAAAAAACTATTTTTTCATATTAAGTAATTTTTACTACTAAATATATTTCCACATTAGATACATGTGCGTGCACTTCTGCTAGTTTTATAAAATATCAATGGTGAAGATTGGTATTTACATCCACAAGTGACTTAAGACATAACCATACAAATACATGTATTCATAAGGTGAAATGTTGCATAGGTTTACATCCACAAGGTCTGTTTTAACCTTGACAAAAGGGGTGTCATGAGCATTTGACCATGATAAATGTTCAAAATATCAATATCACAAAGAGTATTTGAAGTGTGATTAAAAGGTACCATCGGGATATGCTTATGAAACACTTGGTCTTGGATACAAATATAATGACTGGCAGAAGTGAAGTAGAATAGATACTTCAATATTCCATTTGTGCCATGTGCTGATCCTTTAAAAATGCGCAACTATTTGATTGGTAAAGCAACTCCGTTCTGTCATGATGATATGGATAGGCCCATGTTTGGTTGCTTTGTCCAAGTTTGTTGAGATTACACAGAATATTTAAATTAACCAAGAGCATTTTCTCAAGCAGAGGATCTGTCATCTGTCAATAACTTCACAACAATTCCTTCAGGTTTAATTATAACTCATACAGGCACTGACAAATTACATTGCTGTGCTTGGGCTCGATAAATTTCTCTTTCAGATGAAAATTAGATAAGACCAGACAAAAGAAAAGAAAAAGAAAGAAAGTTTATAACAAGTGTCCATGCATCATGGATTGACAATATTTGGCAATACCATTGTGGTCCCCTTCTCTGCTTATGCTGTATATATTTTCCTCTACAATCCAGCATTTTCTGCCATCACTTCATGAATTGTTTTCATCATTTCGATTAGATATACCAAGAGCAAAAAAATGGGTGCAACCTAACAAGTATTTGTTTTCTCCTTTCCTACCGAGAGGAAAATTTAGTTGTATGTCTTGCACATTTGACCTGCGAAAAAAAAGAAATAATAATGAACTTCATTACGTGTATTATAGATATACTCGCAAGGATAATAATACATGAGAGATCCATACATGTATTACAGGATTTATTCATAAGGTTAATAATAGAAACTATGGACCTAAAGTATGGAAACCCGAAAGGTAGCCTTAAGCATTTGGGAGATCTATGTGAGCATGTCTTTCAGGGCAAGGATTGTTATAGCAGAGTTTCTAACATGGGGGTGGTGATTCACATAAATTGTAGGGAAAGTTTTTCTACATCCCTACCCACAAGACACCTCCTCCGTGTATTGGGAACATCTCTCATAAATGATAAGGGAAATATTCCCAATGTGTGTGCCTGTGGTGTTCTGTGGGAAGAGTTTGTGGGTAGGAGATCCAAGCTCCTATGATACACTACTCCCCTTGTATTTTGATAGATTCCCCCACCTGTCACTTCTATTTATGATGCCGGTTGGTTGGTTGTAAGTTTTTCTGGTATCATGTCTTTCCAGCATCATAGTCGAACCCTTAACATAAACAAGTGTCATATCATATTCTAATGAATTTAGTGCATTAAAAAAAGAAATCAAAGCTATGGTGCCCTGCTTCTATTTATAACATTTTATTATAATATTACAATAAAAAAGGTCTTTCATGTTTGGCATTATGTTAATATATAATGGGGAACACAATAAAATGGTTCTCCTACTTTTATTTTTAACATTTTTATTATTAAAAATTAATTTGAAATGTAAGAGCATATGAAGCTTACACCTCTGCAAAGTGCAACATAGGTGCATGCCTCTATACTGGAGGTGTATTGAGGAATTTTCTTAGCACCTAGCCTGGAGGCTGGAGCACACATCCAGTGCCTTTTAAAACATTGTAAACAAATTAGACCCTGAAGAAACCCAATATTGCGAATTTAGTGAAAAAGAAAGGTAATGAACTTCTAGATAGGATGCATTCACCTCATTATAGATCTATGGAGATTCGCAGACCATCATGAGCAAGCTGAACAGGAATTCCTTCTCTGTAGCAAGAAAATAAAATAGAAAATCAGTGATTCAGTTCTTAACATTGAAAATGATGCCTTATTTGAAATTTGCTAGATCCATGACATTTCTAGGCCATAATAGTTTTACAACCAACTCAGACATCTGTACTCCAAGGGTGGTTACTAAAACCTACATAGACATCAACCCAGCAAAGACCTAGGTAGGTAAATCCGATAGCCTGGAAGGTCAACCTTGGTGCTGATTATGACAGCTTCATGGATTTAATCCTAATGTCATTCAGTAATTGGCATGTCATCAAAATCAATATTATCATCACCTGTGCTCCATCGCAGCTATTTTGTCTCAACATGAATTTTGCTCTTCCATGCTAAAATCTCCAAGGCCATATCTTCTATCAGAGTGTAAAGTCCTCGAATATTTTGTCACTATATCAACGTTCTATATAAAAAAACCTCTCCATAAAGTCTCTCTATGGGTGCTTTTCCCCTTTTGACCCCAATCTCTTCCTCCTGTCCCCTCCAAAAGCATTGCACTTATCTCCCTCAGCAATATCTCCACATGTTATCCATCTCCTTTAAGAAGCAATAATGATGATGCCAATAGCAGATGGCAGCAGTATTTTAGCAAAGAAACTGGTTCAAACCAAGTTCAACTGTGACGATCAAGGTGCACAGTTCTTTGATTGACTAAAGCTGGTTTTAATGACCATGTTTCTAAGTTGAAAAAGGAGGTTATGAAGATTAAACTTAAAGGTGTCTTGTACCTTCTAGACCAATCCCTAAGGGCCTCGTTGTCTTTGTGGTGATCAAACTCATGGGTCACCCCAATGAACAGTGCTCGTTTTGGAGAAAGCCTCTTTACAGCTTCAAGAGTCTGAAAGGAGAATTTCTTACTATTAGTGGTTGTTTAAGCAACAGTTCTCTGTTAAAATAAATTACAGAAAATTTGCACCTTGAAGTTTCAAATGAGTAAGGAGGGACCAACCTGAGGCAAGCAAAAATGGGTATTATGTGATCCTGTCTGCATGAATTGAAATTTAAATGGTGAAACAAGGGATTTAAGTCTTGGAACATAGCATAAAATATATTTTTTTATTACTGAGCGTAGTATAAAAACATTAAATAAGCAGCATAAATCATTAAAAATACCAGCAACGCAAATGATATCCATTGCACCGAAGTAATGGAAGATACGATAAAATATCTAACAAGCAATCTGAAAGGGTACTCCATTTCCTAACCTAAGCCTGATGCAGTTGAAATCAAGTCAGGAAACCCAACTTGCAGCCCTAGAGGAAATATAGCAGTCAGGCACATTGAGGATTTGTAATGCACAGCATTTGGATTATAATTCTAAGAATTCAACTAGTAAGATACATTTTTATGAACCATGATGTTAAAAACAGTTATAACTTTCCAATTAATTGAAGTGACTACCAAAAGTCCAAGTATCAAACAGTTAGGAATCTAGTATCTCTACAAGGATTTACCCAGCCTGAATGGCCAAGTTTGTTGATTAAACAGACCTAATTATAGTTTATGATAATCTTGAATACAGTTGTCTTCCAAAGGGAGATGCATAGAGAGGAACCAACAATACAGCAATGTGGTCTGTTTGGGTCACCTAACGAATGCCATAGCCCAGATACTATACCAATCATGACATGATCCACTCCTAGAAACTTGTATTGTTAACATGATCTTTTAGCTAATCAGGTGGTGAATGGGTGACTAATGAGTTTTCAGTTCAGTTGGTGAAGGTGACTTTTGAAGTACAATAAGGACTATGGCAACACAGAGACACCATTAAAGAAATAATTTTCTTTTCAAGGAAGCTGCAAACCACTTTCTATTGGATCAGCAAATTGCTTGGCCAATGTAATACCCAAGCAAGGTGAACAGGGATCATTAGTAGACTTTGCTAGAGCACATGATTCATTTTTCTCTATATTAATAAAATGCTATGATTATCAATAGAAAAAACACTTAATAGGATGTTGTCCATAGAATTAGAGTTGGATGGGAGAAATGGGAGTGTCATAAGTGTTGTCTGTTGTATGGATGGAATAGGGTTTTGAACAATAACTTAATAACATGTCCAAAAAGTGATTGGCAGAAATACGTATGCTGATATGGATGAATGGAAAAACTAGAAAGGATAGGGCCAGAAATATATTTGCAAAGTCGATAAATATATAGAAGCAATCGGAGACAGGTACCGCAAGCAGAAGAGGATGAAGTAAAGCCTGACCTTGTATAATGTGTCAAGGATAAGAAGATCCAACTGTCCAGCTCCAGTCTTCGAAATTACTACATAACCAAAACTGATTTAGAAACATAAAGAGGAAGAGAAATATGATTGCAAAGAATACAGTATCCACTTTAATTTACAATATGCTTATTGAGGAAATAGCATTGTGAACTGTATTAACAGACAGGGGCAGAGAGAGGTGGGGGACTAGGAGGATGATCTCCCCCCTCATTTTCCTTTGCAATACCTTATATGCATATATTATATTACAAGCGAAAGATTGGGATTTATTGAAAGAGATGTGACTCAAACTAATAAAATCAGTAGAATATTTCAGAATAAAGCAAAAGAAATCAGAGAAGAAGGAGACAGCAAGAAGGAGGAAGATTGGAGAAGAAAGGAGGAGTTCGAATATCTCCTCTTTCCCCTACTCTAATCTTTTATTAAACTTATTTTAGTTACATAAATTACATGGAGGCCCTTAAGTAGGCGTCCACATCAGCACTAAACTTAGAAAACATAAAAAAGAGCTAAAGGCCCAATAAGAAAACTTAACATGAAAGAACTAGTAAGAAAGACACTAATGGGCTAGGGCCCATTCGGCCCAGTTTCTCTACACTCCCCCTCAAGCTGAGCATAGATATCCATCATGCCCAGCTTGCTTATATAATGAACCAGCTTTCCTTTAGAAACACCTTTTGTCAAAACATCATCCAATTGATTTTCAGAAGCAACAAATGGTAGATAGACTTCTCTTGAGGCAACTCTCTCTCGTATAAAATGCTTGTCAACCTCAATGTGTTTAGTTCTGTCATGTTGAACAGGATTGTGTGCAATGTTGATAGCAGCCTGGTTGTCACGATTTAACATCATTGGCTTCTCACAATTTATACCCAATTCATCTAAAAGTGATCTCAACCACAAAAGTTCAGAAACTCCATGTGCCATTGCCCTGTATTCCACTTCAGCTGAAGATCTTGCCACTACAGACTACTTCTTACTCCTCCATGATACAATGTTCCCTACTACCATAGCACAGTAAACTAAAGTAGACCTCCTATAATCAATACATTCGGCCCAATCAGCATTAGTGTATGCTTCCAGCTTCATGTGTCCATGCTTAGCAAACAAGATACCTTCCCTGGAGTTCCTTTTAGATAGCACAGAACTCTCTCAATAACTGCTAAATGTCTATCTCTGGGAGAATGCATAAACTGGCTAATTACACTAACTGCATAGGAAATATTTGGTCGAGTCATGCAAAGGTAAAGTAAATTCACGACCAGTCTTTGGAACACCCCCTTATCAGGCAACAATTCACCTTCAATCGCTGACAACTTATGATTTAGGTCAATAGGAGTAGAAGCAGGTCGACCCCCCAGTTTCCCAGTCTCTACAAGGAGATCAAGAACATACTTCCATTCAGAAATAAAGATACCATCCTTAGATCTGGCAACTTCAATTCCCAAGAAATATTTGAGTTCTCCCAAGTCCTTAATTTCAAACTCAGTGATAAGAAAACTCTTGAGATGAACTTCCTGAGTATCATTTCCTGTAACCACAATATCATCAACATAGACAATCAAGAGGGTCACTAAGGGATCTCTTCGCTTAACAAACAAAGTATGATCCAACTAAGTCTGTGTGTATCCAAAAGCAACAAGAGCAGCCCGAAATCTGTCAAACCAGGCTCTAGGAGACTGCTTAAGGCCATAAAGAGACTTCTTCAGTTTACAGACCTTTCCTTGCATCTCCTTCCCATACACCCCTGGAGGTAAAGACATATAGACCTCTTCATTTAGGTCCCCATTCAAAAGGCATTCTTTACATCAAACTGATGAAGCGGCCAGTCAAAAGCAGTAACTAAAGATAGAAAGACTCGAACTGAAGTCATCTTGGCTACTAGGGCAAAAGTTTCTAAGTAGTCAATACCATACATCTGAGTATATCCTTTAGCAACCAAACGGGCCTTATATCTCTCAACAGTACCATCAGAATGATACTTAATAATGAACACCCACTTACAGCCAACCAGTTCCTTTCCCTTAGGCAAATGCACAATTTCCCAGGTATTATTCTTATACAAAGCATCTAGTTCAGTCATTATAGCATCTCTCAATTCTGGTTTGGACAAGGCATCTGGGACAAACCGAGGAGTTACATGTGTGGAAACAAAGGCAAGGAAGGAATAGTAGGAAGGGGAAAGGAGGTTGTAGGACAGGTGTTTGGAAATATAATGAGCTGTGCATTTCCGTTTGCCTCTGCAAAGGACAATAGGTAGATCAAGGTCAGGGAAGGTATCCAAAGTAGTATAAGAGGGCTAACATGTTCTCTCAGTAGTGATGGGAGGAGCAAGAGGCACATCTGAAAGAATGGAAACAACTTGCATGTCTCTGAGTCTTTGTCTCTGGTACCACCTCTGTATAATAGGATGGGAAAGAAAAGAAGGGGAATGAGTAGGAGGAGGGGGAGCAGGGATAGATGGCTCAACTGGAGGAGACTCTATAGAAGATTCAATGGGAATTGGAAGAGGAACAAATGGTGACAATGCAAACAACTCGTCTGAATGCTCCCCCTCAAGAGAAGTACTAAAGAAAGGGACTAACTCTACAAATGTGACATCTCTAGAAACAAAGCAAGTGCCACGAACTGGATCAAAATAGCAGTACCCTTTCTGTGTGGAGGCATATCCCAAAAAGACACACTTGTGTGCTTTAGGCTCAAACTTATGTCTTTGATGACTATGAACATGGACATAGCAAGTGCACCCAAACACCTTGAGAGGAAGAGAAAATAGATCCTCATTTGGAAAAAGAGATAAAGGGAGTTTTAAACCCCATAACCCGAGAAGGCATTCRGTTTAGCAAGTATGTAGCTATAAGAACAGCATCACCCCAAAATTTAATAGGAACATGGGAAGCAAAAAGAAGGCTCCTCGCAACCTCAACCACATGTCTATTTTTCCTTTCCACCACTCCATTTTGTTGAGGAGTGTAGGAACAAGAACTCTGATGAATAACTCCAAAGGTATCAAAGTAGGAGGAGAGACTCTTCTCAAAATATTCCTTTGCATTATCAGATCGGAATATTTTGATCTGAGTGTTAAACTGGGTAAGTATAAGTTCATGAAACTTTTGTACAATATTTGATACTTCATCCCGGGATTTCAAAAGGTAAATCCATGTGTAACGAGAGAAATCATCAATGAAAAGAATGAAATATTTATAGCATCCCATAGCAGGTAAATGATATGGCCCCCACATTAGAGTGCACAATATGGAAAGGAGAAACATATTTTTTATTATTCACTGAAAAAGATTGTCTACGATGTTTAGCAAGTTCACATGACTCACAATGAAGACTCGATAGGGATATTCCCTTAAACATTTCTGGAAACAAATGACTCAAAGCTGAAAAAAACAAATGGCCAAATCTAAAATGACATATCATGACTCTATTAACTAACTCTGATAAAACAGACTCCAAAGCAACTCCACTAGGTAATCCAGGACTTTGATCAGAGACATCCAACAAGTATATCTCATTCGCCTCATGGCCACCCCCAATTGTCCTCTGAGACTTCAGGTCCTAAAAAACACAATAAGTAGAAAAGAAGGTTATGCTGCAGTTCATTGATTTGGTTAAACTACTAACAGATAAAAAGGTTAGTGCTAAGTTTGGGAACATGAAGGACAGAGGATAATACAAGTGAATCAAAGGCTTTAATATTCCCCTTGCCAGAGATGGGAGCAAGAGACCCATCGGCAAGAGAAATCTTCTTTCTACCCAAGAGGAGCTGGTATGAACAAAAAAGGTTGGGTAGGCTAGTCATATGGTCTGATGCACCAGAATCTATGACCCAAGGAATTCTACGATTACCTGAGGCTGTAGCATGATTTGCAGAAGCACGAATACCTAAATGGGCAAAAGCGGATAGAGGGGATGCCTGGGGAGGAAGATGCAATAGTAGACTCCAAGTGATTTATCAACTTCCCATATCTCTCGAATTCTGCCATCACTGCTGCCAACTATTCCACAACAGATTTTTCTTCACATTTAGACATTGTGGCAACATTTGCATTCTTGGGTTTTCCAGACTGGCCACCCTTCTTAGAGTTGTTGTTGCTCCGAAACCTCTCAGTAAGAAGATCTGGATGAAGCTTCCAACAAGAATCCTTAGTATGTTTCGGCTTCTTGCAGTATTCACATATCACTTCCCTTTTCTCATTCAACCCCTTTGGTTTTATTCCAGCATGTGCAAAATGTTCTGAAGGAGGTGGGGTCTATAGCTGTACTTGTCACCTGCTCTCTTCACTGCTCACCATAGAGTATGCTTGTGCAAGTGATACATCATCCTTGGCCAAGATATTCCGCCTTGTAATATCAAATTTAGGATTGAGTCCTATAAGGAACTCAAACAACCTATTTCTTTCCACAATTTTCCTGAAAGTTTTGGCATCTTTGGTGCTTTCCCATACAAATGCTTTCATAACATCCAACTCCTGCCATAGCGACTTCAACATCAAATAATACACAACCACACTCTTCCCCCTGTCTTAAATTCTTTACATCACTCTTTAGTTTGTAGGCCCTTGCAACATTTAATTTCTGAGAGTATGTCTTTGTCACACTATCCCAAATTTCCTTAGTTGAAGTCATCCACAGATAGTGTTGACTTATATGGGGCTGCATAAAATTTACCAACCACCCAATGACTGTGTAGTTATCCTGCATCCATTTCTCATATGTAGGGTCAGACTCACTCGACATCGCCTTACTACCCATTAGAAACCCTACTTTACCTCTACTACAGACATGGATCTTAATAGATTGTGCCCACGCAAGGTAATCTGTTCCGTCAAGTTTAATTGTAGTCACTCCTGTCAAAAAGGAATCTACGGGACCAACCCCCGACACTAGGATTTGCTTCACCTCACTTCCAGATTGCTCCATCAATCAAACGAAAATAGAAAAACAATGTTTTTAACCTTTATAGACCTAACTAAGGTCAGTCAAGMACTCAAAAGCCCCAAAACTAGGGTTTCACCATACCTGGCCT